GTTACACTTGCGAATTTAAATATATCGAATACACTAAAATTAACCTTATTCCTCGTGGGACGATAACTCACTCATCACGATTATTACTTGTACAACGAACTCGTACGCTTGCGAGATTTTCGCCCAACAATCTCTACCCCTTGATGAGTATGTGGCATTGATGGGATGACGATGTAGTTTTGTTGTGTGATACTTGTGATGCAGAGCATCACATTTATTGCTTGAATCCTTCTCTTGCCACGATTCCTGAAGGAAAGTGGTATTGTTCGAGTTGCATAGCTAGTAATGATGTTGCTCCAACATTTTCTGAAAGGTTGGTAGTCAGCCAACAGCAAAGAAGCAATAAGATAGAGCCAATGCAAATTCTATTCAATGGAATTGCACCTCTGGCAGCTTCGATGGAGGAGGAAGAATACTGGATGTTATGTCCACACGAGGTTTAGTCTAATATGTCACTATATTTTTCTACGAGCTCACAGAGTTGCACATGCACTTCATTTTCATCGAGTTACTCCTTGAATCTTGAGGTTTATAATGTGTTTCCTTGACCAAAATGCACTAACTGGGACTTTTATTTTGCATGAAGAAAACTTTACTGCTTAAGTTCTTTTGTGACAAGATGTTGACTTCCAATTTTTGTAAACCATCACTTTAAGGAGTGTGAAAGCTCTTGTCCCCGAGTGCGACGAGAAATGCGTTCTCTCTGTAAGAAATTGGAAGACTTGAAGCGCAAAGAAAATGACCTTGCCATGCAAGGTTGGTGTCTTGAAATGTATGCGAAGCAATTGGAAGAATATTGCCTTCCCAACGATCCCTCATTGACTATGGATGCAAGTGAATTGGTATCCAATCAGGAGGTATTGAAATCAGTGAGGAATGAAATTCAGATTCTCAAAAACTCAATTACCAATTCAGAAACTGAGCTAAAGATGCGGTCGGCTGAGTTTTTGGGTGTTGATTCTGCTCAGAGATTGTACTGGATTATGGAATTGGTTGAACGTCCTCAGATAATTGTCGCTGAAGGGAATTCTCAGGATTACCAACCAAGATGCTCGTGGAAGAATTCTGTATCGATTGGCAACAAAGATCTATCTAGTGCTGGAGGTTCAGAAGCTAGATGTCCTATGTATGAAGATAGGTATAGAAATGCTGCTCTCGCCTCTTGGGTATGTTACCAATAAGATGCAGAGATCAAAAGAATGATTGTTTTACTGAAGGATAGTAATCTAATTGATCGACAGTTGAAGGAGTCTATTTCGCAATGTCACAGGCTACAATTTCGAGACCCTCATAAATCAGAGAGCCAAAATGAAAATGAACTTCAATTGCCATTTTTGAAGCCAAGTGATAATTTTTCAAATTCAGATTGTCTAATTACAAAAGCCTTCAAACTATTGGTGTCAAAATATGGCGCTTTTCAGAAGACGGAGATGATTGACTCTCTGAAGAATCGAGGTAAGATGGAGAAAGTAGTTGTTGAATGCAAAATGTACAGATGTACATGCTTAGAGCCTATCCCACCAACTGCTGACCATTGTCTTATCTGCCATAAGACCTCCTTCAACAAGATAGAACTTAAAGAGCATAATCAAAAATGTGTTGTGCCGGCATCTTCATCGAAGCCAGCGGTTTGTAAAGCGTCTCATGTTCTAAAGCAACTTAAAATCAATCTACTGGATATGTATGCTGCTCTCCCTGAAGAAGCTCTTAGATCATCAAAAGCATGCTTTGACAGGAGATGTTCCTGGCGTGCTGTTGGGAGGAGATCAACCGATTAGCTCAAGATCAAACAAATAAATGGAAACCAAAAATACCAACAATCAGAAAACTGAAAGCCTAAAACATTAAACATCAAACTTAAACAAGAAACCAACACAAGAAATTACTGAAAACCGAAACGAAAAATAAGTGCAGAAACTTATCTTCATTATAAAGCCCACAGGCAAAGATTTCA